GACTAATCTTACAAATGGCTGTGGTGTGAAGTGCAGGTGGTCGGGCAAGTGGAAGGGCAGACGGGCAGACGGGCGCCCGCAGCACTAGTCGCCTTATCACGCACTTACCTCACCAACACCACTGACTCATGTCCCGCCGCCGCGCCCCTATTGCCAACACATTTATATCTTGGGTATACATTTCCGATGTAGATGATAAATGGAAAATAAAAACTTAAACACTATTAGTCTAAACTAAGGCAAGCCGCTTGTTATTATAGAAATGTGTACGTAAGGTTCTACCAGCTCGTTCCCTTCGATACCGACATTCGCGGAAATTCCATAGTACAAATACGTGTGATGCTGACGTAGTTATGTAATATGTAAATTAAAGGAAGTTGCGCGGATCAATTAGCATGTCGCGATGTGATCTCGGTCGGTACAACTTACGTCGCGTTGTGTAATGACGAGCCGTGCTGTGCTGTGACGTGGCGTGTCGCTGTATAACACAATAGTGTCACCAAGTGAGGCGGAGCAGCGCGTTCTGAGATTGTAGCGTGGCTTTTGAGATTGATCGAGATATAATATTTCACTAGGTATTTTACGCCATAACAGCTTTTTGGAATTTCGTCCTTTATTCCTATTCGTCCTAAATTGAATGTCCTATACAATACTACTGCGGTAATTAAATTAATGTCAGTCTTTTAAGAATTGTATCCGGCATTAAACCCAGTAGGCAGAAAGTATTAATTAGGGTAACACTCTTAATGAAATATTATATCAATAAAAATGCGTAAAATTCTTGAACGCACGTAATTGCATATGATTTTTGAGTCACAAGTACAGAAATTCCAACTAACAGTTGCTGCAAACGGACATAAAATATATTTTAATGAGTAATATAAAACAAGGAGCTAGTACAAGTCATCGCGCGTGGCGCGTCGCGAATGTTCGCGTGTATTTACGACTATCTGTTGACGCATGAGGTACGGCTATAATAAAAGTAAAAGGATGTACACAGGTACTATCTAAAATGACGTAACTATCCGTACAAGTGTATGCATCCTCGCCTTGTGCGATATAGCGCGCCTGAAGGCTGATGCCACCAACGACAACCCCGATGTTCCGGCTCCGGCTCCGGCTCAAGCCGTTATTACAGCCGCTGACAGCTCTCGTCCCGCCGACGACAAGAATAGAATAAATGCTGGTGGCATTAAATCGTAGACTCCAGGACATAAAGAATCGAGATTTGTTACGATCCTATTTGAAAAGATGATGAACACTACGGAGAATTAACCGCAGTTGGAGCGGCGTACACCGGCGGCATCGTCCTCGTTGTGGCGTGGCGCGGAACGGCGCGAGCGCGGCCCAAATGTCTCGATAATATCAATTTCACTGGACTATAATTTGCATCCGGCTTCTCGTATATTGCACTAACTAGGGCTTTGAATGTCAAGGGCAGTAAACCTATTTATTTTCTAAAACAAAGTCATTGCTAATGATGTTGACTAATAGTTTGATCATATTAGGCATTAGTGATGATTGTTGGATCGATCTATTTGTTAAAGAACTATGCATTAACTATGACTCTGCGCTCACATTACAAGCACAACTTTCGCCCGCACC